CGGGGGCGACGCGCGGCGCGGCGCGGGTCCGTCTTGGGAGCCCTTTGGGGGTTTCTTTCCCTTCTTCTTCTTCTTTTTTTTTTTTTCCCTTTTTGGTTGGGTCCTTCCCGTACGCTGCAAGCTTTGGCGCTGATCTTTTGATTGGTTTTAGACGTTTCTTGATACCTCGGCAGTATGTTTGGGCTAGGGAAGAGGCTTAGGCTCGTTATTGAGAGACATGTGCTTTGTGCTGCGAGGATTAAACACGAGAAAGTTTGTTGGGCGTCACGGGGAGGTTTGCTCCGGGCTTTCCAAACGCTGGCCTTCAACAGCCAGCCCAGCAAGGGCCATAAGACAGCATAGCGTGACAGGGAGCAGGCAGAGCTGAGACGGTCCCTCCATTTAACTTATTAAAACGTTAGCCTCAGCAAACCTAACCCGCAATAAGATAGCGTTTCCAGAATTAACGTGCCTGTGTGTTTCTCTTGCTGCTCTTTCCTGCGCTGCCTTGATCATCCTCCATTATACAGGATAGTAGCCGTGCTGATGATCTTGCGTATAACGTGAGGTAGCTCCTTAACTGTTCTGGGGTCGTTTTAACACGCGAATGTTGAGCAGGAACAGAAGTCGCTTTGTTTGCGATGTATGGTCACTCTTGTGCGTGCTTTTTGGTTGTGAGTGCCAGGCCCCTCCTATGGCGGGCGTTTGTTATGACTGTAAATGAAGGAACGAGATATCCGTATTCCAACGTGGCGAGCCGTGAACTTTTTTGGAGGCGAGGCGTCCTTTCTGCGACCACCTCAGGTCTACTGGCTGGCTGCAGTCGGCAGGGTTTTTTGCCGGAGTGGGGTGGGGGGGGGATGCAGTACTACAGGGCTGAGACTGGAGTGGTTCAGCTCTGATTTCACAGGATGTCAAGAGCAGGGCAGGAAATGGACACCAAGGCTTTCAACCACTGTCTGCTCCTTTGCTCACCCCTCAGCCCTTGTGTCTGTTGGCGCTGCTTTGCTTCTGACGCTCGGCTCTCCTTCTAGCTGCTTCTCTGGAGCACAGAGGCCTTCAGCCGAGGGGCTCAGTGTGGCGTTTTGATGGCGCTGCTGGTAAAAGCTGGGCCCGCTGAAGCCAAAGTGGTAGCCAGGCAATGTTGATGGCTACAGGAGTTGTGCTGAGACTTCACCCGCTCCTTGTTGTCCCCTGTCAGGCTGGAATTTCTTAAGGTGTGAATACTTTTGACTCTTTGCTTCTGTTCTCAAGCATCTTTACTCTTGTTTTGCAACACAGACCAGCTTGTAGGGTGGGAATGCCGCCCAGGGCTAACTTATTTGGAGGCAAAGCAGAGCTAAGGAGATATAACTTGGCCGGTTAGCCTTGTCGGATGTGATGTGTACTGCTAGTCTCAAGACCATAGAGCAGCTATATAGCTGCGTGGCCATCTCTTGGCAGATCTAGTGACTTGCAGGCATTTGACACCTGATGTTCAGAAAGTCTGGCTATCCACGCTGCCATTGGTAGAGGTGCCTGTATTGTAATACCATAAGCATTCTGAATCATTGATAGTTTAGAAAAGCCGGGCGCACCTCACCCCATTTTTTTTCCCTTTTACTCTGTGTATCAGTCTTTCTGCCTGTAAAATGGGGATACAAGATTTTACTTGCTGCTTCTGCAGGGTATGTTTCTATTCTCGTGTGAGAAGATCATTTATTTTCAGACTTTCTTGAGATGTATACGTTAGCACCTTTCTGAATTATTCTTTTTACAGGGACACTAATGCCATCCTGTGACACCTAGGGAAATAAAGCTATTTTCCTCTCTAGTGCCTTGTCTATATTAGCAATATTTGCAGTGATGTGACATCACCAATAGAGTTATGCTGTTATGTATTACTCAAAAACAGACAGGCCTAATTACTTTTCTGTCTATGTTTTCTTCAGGCGTGACTTTCAGGTCTGGACTTTTGGAGGATTAAATTATGTCTGTAGGATTTGAGGAATTTTCTGCTGGTTTTGGAATTAGGCAGCAGTGAACACAATTTTTTTCTCTGAGTTGTTCAAATGGATTTGCGAGGCAAGTCTGAATATTATAGAATGAACTTTTTTTTACTTCTGCAGCATCAAACCTGGATGTTTGAAAATACAGCGAGAGAATATATGCTAGAAGGTTTTGTTAAGCTGGCTTCCAGTTTCAGTGAGTGCTCAGCTCAGAAGCCAGCTGAGCACACAGTACTACTACTCCATAGAGTTACAACCCCTAAAGATGGGTATGGTGCAAAGCAACAAGATGGTACTGACTGAGGCGTTTCCACTCCTCAGTCTTCATGCTTTCTCTTTGCCTCAGTATCATGAAATCTTGGAAAAATAGTTTTCTCTGTCATTGCAGAGAAATGTACATTACAAGCATGCGGTTCGGTTTTAGTTTATGAACATGATACTCTGAATTTAGGGATTTGGATTCATACTCTGGATCTAAATGAATCAGATGTTTTGTCAACATAGAGGTGTGCATTTTTAGCACTTGAGAAAAATCAGTCCATTTCTGTTTAAACTTTTAAGTTTAGTTGAAGTTGCTTATTATTAGAATACCTATTTTCAAAAATTATCTACTTCCGACCATTCTTTTGTTTGTCCAGTGCAAAAGTTTATGTCCTAGTGTGTTTGTGGACAAAGAAATACATAGGAGAGCTGAATTAAGCTTGCAGAATCTACTTTAAATGCTAAGGTTGTTTAGACTTCATGTTACTTGATCTGTCGTTCTTAACTCTGCAATACAGTTTTCTGTTATTTAATATATTTATTTTCCTTTTGTAGGCCCAATTTTTGTTCTTGCATTGCTATTCAGTTGGAGAACTGATGCAGTTTAATGCCAATATTGCAGTGTTAGCGTATGCACAAGAAACCGTAAGAAAGATACGAAATTATGACCGTCAGCCTTCCTCTTCCCTCAGTGATCCTTTCCTCTGCCATCCGAGTAATCCACCCTCCATCTGAAGAGTCTGGCCTTTCATGGTGATAGATAATGTCATGAAGTTAGCACTCTCTTCTTTGAGAGTGTCCCCCTCACGACAAGCAGGTCTCTTGTGCTGATGGAAACTTTAGTCGATTTTTCTGACTGTATTACAATTTGAAGTGCTTTTAACAGGTGAGTCTTTAAAGCTGGAGGTAAATCTCTAGTTGCTGCGTGATGTGGCTGAATCGTTCATGAGCTGTCACGAACTCAACTGAAAGATTTCCTGCCGTTCTTTATAGGGTATATTCATTTGCGAGTCATTTCCAACCTTTTTTGACTTTTTGGACTAAACATGTTGCAAGCGGAAAAAGAGACTTCTGATGGGAAGTGGATATTATGCAACCTAGTCAGAAAAGCTGTGCTGGCCAACATGGTGCAGCAGCATCCATGTATGCTGGTAGGTTTGAAATGACTAATTTAAAGCAAAATTATCAGTGGATTTCTGTGGACCAGAAATGTTTTTAAGGGAGCATGCATGTAAATTCAGACAGCTAAACTATACTTGGTGTAATAAATAATACCAGGGATTAATATATCCTATTGCATTTTCCTGATGTGCGAGGTTACCTGCTCCGCAGATGGTCATAGGAGGTCCCGAGTTAGCACTCGGGAAGCAAAGTCCACCAGAGTAAAGGGAATTGAACTGAAGGCCCTTACTGTTTTGCTGGAGACTTGCATAAGAACAGGGCCATATGAAATGATTGTTGATTTAAAGAATTACCTGTACCTGCTATTTAAGACACAAGCGGAGGGGAGTTAATGTATTTTTATATGTATTTTATGCTTTTATGCAAATTATGTTTTCAGGGTGATCTATTTAGAACTCCCAATCATAATTTCACTTTTCCATGGTGTTAGGGATAACTAAATCATCATTGTACTGATAGTTTCTGATATGAATTCCAGTGTGATGACTTGGAGTAGGGCGCAAGCAACTCACAGCTGATTTGAATGCAGAGGAAGCCAGAGCTTTCAGAGTAGCTGCTAGCTGAGTTCTGCTTAGGTACAGTTAGGCACACCCCTCCATGTGCAATATCAGTAAAAGCAGCATTAGATGCCATTAGGGAAAAAATATGAAATGACTTTGAGAAGTATTCCTTGTGTTCTACTCTGTCTTCAAACTCACTGCTGCAGATGGCAGATTCCTGCCCTATTTTTAGCTATGTGAGGACAAACAGAAAAATGCTAGTGGCTCCTCATGGTTTGTCACCGTGGCTGATTCCCTTTAAATTAAACAGGGGTTGACAGAGGAGCCTAAACAGCAGGAAAGCTGCTTCTGTTTATTTTAAAAAAACTTGTCAAGAGCTCTAAAATAATGCTAAAAAAATCTTCACTGCTGCATACGGAGACCCCTGGGAGGATAAATACCCAAATATTTATCCTATTTGGAATAAGGAAATTGAGGCCCAAATTGCTGAAACAATTTCCCTGCAAGTCAGTTGAAGAGCAGAGATTAGAAAGCAAAGAGTTCCTGGCTTACAATCCAGTACTCGGGCCATCCATCGGGCCAGGTGTATGTGTGGTGTGAGGGTTTGGAAGAGAACGCTGATTTCACTGGCTTACTTGTCTGAAAATTACAAGATGGGTTCTTAAGGCAAGTGTGTTTGTTTTGTTTTGTTTTCTTCCCCTTTCCCGTTCTCTCC